CTGAACTGATGCCTTCTTTTCCCATTGAGGCAACTGGAATGTGGTATGTTCTCATCTAAGAAGGTAATTGGTTGTTAAATTCAAAATCCTTTTTATATCAAGCGAAGCCCTTCATCCCTTCCTAGGCTCTGTAGCGTACAGATGAATGAGCCTTCACTTACAATTAAATTTGAATTTTAGTGGTCTGGTTTTGTTATTAATTGTATAGGGCTCGTCAGTGGATCATTTGGATTATAGTGACAAATGGCTATTGATTTCAGTCAGTATTTCAAGATGCCAAACAACTAAATACATTTGCAAGCACTATGATAATTTCCCACTGTAGATTTAAAGATTTTTCACTGCTACTTGAATTGGCACAAAAAAGGTTGTCCTAGGATTGGGTTGTTCACAGCATCCTTCTCTTCTGCATCTGTTGTGACTCTCTTATAATTGCACTGTCCAAATTTGTGTGGGTGTCAATTGTTAGAGCTGCATGTTGCTTCTTCTCTGGCTTGGCTACTCTCCTTTGTTGGCAATCACTAGCCAGCAGGAAAACCATCCACAAGTCAGGGTACCATAGCACAAGTGAGAAAGCTGATGTAATTTCACATTTTGGGGCATAGCCTTTGCTTCTATGTGGTGATTTACTCATAAGTTAATATATTTCTTTGTAGGGGAGAGGAAGGACTGTTGAAACTAGCTAATATAGAGAAACTGATCTAATCACAGCATTACAATACTGCTTTAAAATAAAAGTTGGGAAGGGAACATATAATAAATCCAATGAAACCGCCTTTATTTGTATGCTTCTCTACAATGTATTAAAATGCTTTGGGCAAAGATGTGAAAAAAATAGTGAGTTTGGATAGTTTTCTAGAGAGGCCAGTCTGCATCTTTTCAATTCTATTAATATGGTCCAAATTGCATTCCTTAGACATTCCTTCCCTTAAACTTCTGAGTGCCTCCACTCAACAAAAGTTCACTTACAAGTATCATTACTCAGTAGCATGGCATCACGTCTCTTCTGACAGTGCTGACAAAAGGCTGAGGTTCTTAGGGTGAACAATAAAGAGATGTCTCATGACAACCATACTTACATAAAAGTGCTGCAGGATGGCTATGCAGTAAGTAAAAGCTTTGGATATATTTTCCTGCTTTAGTAGGGCAGATGAGTTTAGTATTTAAATGAGTTCAGCTTAATACCAGACGTTCCTTTCTTAAGCACTTTATTTTTTATGGTTTAGTTGTACTTTCTCTGATTGTTATTCAGCCACATTTGTTGAGTCAAGTGGTATACAAATATATTACTTATTTGTAAATGATTGTTTATTACAATCTACAAACGGTGGCATCCCTTACAAACTGCAGTGATGTCAATATGTGATGAAATATGCATCATGATGTCATCGTGCAAAGAACTTGGAAGTAAATACAAGTAGGTAAATTAAATAATTTTCATCATAAAATAATGCAGTTGTTGTGCTTCGCTCCTCCTCCCCCTCATTTCTCTAGGCAGGCCTGTGGTTATAGTCCTGCTAATGTCATTCTGGTCTATTAAGTATTTGTAAACTGCCTAGTCCAGTGATGGCGAACCTTTTAGAGACTGAGTGCCCAAACTGCAACCCAAAACCCACTTATGCATCGTCGGGTGCGGGGTGGGTGTGGCCCATTGGCTGGGTGTGGCCAATTGGGTGGGCGTGGCCCATTGGCTGGGTGTCGCTGAGGTGGTAATGGCAGACTGGGTGGGACGAAAAAGTTCAATCAATCAATTCCAACTTTGCAAGATCTTTTTTTTCCTGCGAGAAGTTGAAATTGACTGATTGAACCTTTTTTTTTTTTTTGCACACGGCGGCGGAGGCTTAAAGCAAAAAGGTTTTATAAAACTCAGCTGAAGGCCTAGGACTAGGGTGACGGCACGCATGCCCACAGAGAGGGCTCTGAGTGCTGCCTCTGGCACCCATGCCATAGGTTCGCCACCACTGGCCTAGTCACTTAGGTGAGATAGGCAGTGTACAATTTTGATAAATAAATAGTACATGTAACCAATAATACTGTATTGTGTTTTGGAAAACAATAATCTTATCTACTTATAATTATAATTTAACACATTATTTTATTTATTAATTATATCAAAAATAAGATTATTTAATCAAGACAAATTAATTCCAGGCTATGTTGTTTGGTAATGAAAGACTTTATTAATCATTAAACATATTCAGTTGCTTTTGAGTAGTTTTATCCCTGAAGGCAACACATGGTTTGCTTTTTATCCCCTTATGTATTTATAGTCAGTAAGCTACAAGGAGCATATGAGAAGTTTTAGGGTGTCCCAAATATCATTAAATGCCTACATTTTGCTGGAAGGATGTGAGTTTCCTAACCACTTAAACCTTAAACTGCTGTTAGTAGTTTGTTGCAATTTGATTCTGTTTGGTTTAACATATATGCAAGACATTCACAATTCTACCTCTTCTTTTACATGCCAAACAACTTTCATAATATGGTAATATATTTCAAAGATGCAATGCATAATTATAAAGTGCAAAGATGTATATATAATTGTTTGTGGATCAACCACTGAGTATCCCAAAGGTGCTTTTTCAAAAGGGAACTGGACTTTGTTTTTCCTTGAAAATGTTTCATTTCTCATCCAAGAAGCTTCTCCTTGGATGAGAAGTGAAATGTCTTCCAGGAAAAACAAAGTCCGGTTGCCTTTTGAAAAAGCATCTTTGGGACAACCATGACCTGGATGACTGGGAATCTCCATAGGCAACAATTGACTGTTATATTCTTGATAATTGGCCCAATTCAAGCCTCTAAGTTTGTGATGAATACAACTTAGTACAGTAGTTATGAATTAGGTTTGCTATGTCCAGTTCTATGTCAGGAAAAGGAGTGCATTAATTGCAAATAGCACCAGAAATAAATTAAAGCTATGCCTTCAAAAACATTTTTTTCACTCATCTCATTCCCACCAGCATTGTTTCCAAATACTGTTGCTTCATCTATAAGCATTTTTGTCTGTTACCAATTATATAAATAAAAAAACTACATGCTAGATTTTGACTTTTTGTAGATCCATAGAAATTAATGTGTATTTGGACGACTCACGGTGTTCTCCTTAAATCTTCTCTGAAACCCATTTAAAGGAAGGAGCAGAGAAGAATCAATTTGGAGGGCAGAACAAGAAAGAAGTATCCATCCTACTATCAGATTCTCTAATAATGATATTGTGCAGCCCCTTAAGAGGTAATCTGTAGCAAACAAAGAAACTGATAAAATGACTGAAAAAAGAGAGTACAGTACCTTAAAAACCGTTACTGCAGTCACAGGGAGCCTTTTCATGCTACTGCAGTAAAGTTTTGAAAACAGGATTCTCATAAGTGAGACCAAGAACAGATTTTTACAGATAGAATATTTCTAACTCAGGGTTGAACCGGGGAGATTCTTGGTGCTCTCTAAGTTTGGTGGTACCACCAGGTTCAGAAAACTTTTGCTACTCTCTTGCATTTGTGTAATAAAACTTGGCTGTCTTCATTGTAGTTATACAAGATTGGGACTGATTGCTATTTAAATAGAAAACAATCAAGAAGTCCTGGGTTTTCAGGCTCTGCTGGGAAGTTAAAAACCACCCTGGCAGAAGGCAAGGGTCAGCTATCTTCTTATGAGATAACAATAAAAAAAAAAATCCTGCATGAATGTATCAATAAACTCTTCAAGATTTCAAATTCAGCTTGGAGACTTTTTCTACTTCTGTAATTATATTCAGCAAACATCACAGAAAAATAAATAAAGGTAGCCCATATTGGCAAGTGTTCATAAGTGAGATGTATCTAATTACTAACAGTGTGTACTGTGCAAGGACTCCGGTAGTTTGCGCCAATATCTCAAACATCACTTTACAAAAAAGGCTTTGTATACCTGAATATGATTCCCCTTCATATAGAAATTATTTTCCTTGTAAATTCTGACTGGTTTCAAACAAACTGCCAGGAAATGTGTCTTGTGCAAACCTCAGATGGTATCATGCGTTTACGATTCAATGTATTGCACGAATCCAGGCAGATGGGCTAAGCAAACCATAAGTAGTGTGCTGTATGAACTGAGTCATTATATTGATCCATATTTCCCCAGGTGATCAGTTAAGTAGCTGCTCTGTGTTGATAAAGTAGCCAGTATTCATAATAGCACAGATTAAGGGATTAACTTTGAAATTTTGTCGAACAGAACAATCAGAAATAGGAACCTTGACTTGGCACAAGCCACTTAACTACTCACTGTAAGATTTAAATGCCATAGGTTCATACTGTATATCTTGCATATGAAATAGTATTTTACCAGGCAATTTAAATGTAGGTTTTACTACTGTTGTATTTTATTTAACTATATAAATATTTAAAAGTGCTATTGATTGTTAAGTAGTCAGTGTCGGTTATGTGCACAATAAACTTCGGAAATAACTAATATGAAATGATGGTATATTGGAAAAGGTACTGTAAAGGCATAATCACTTTTCATCTATATACTAAGCAGTTTGTTCTTTGCAGCATTTTTCTTTAATATAAAAAGGAAATTATTAGTCAAAAGTCCTTCATTTTGGCTAAATGTGGCTCTCCATCGATGAAATAAAACAGTACTTTCTTCCAGTAAATTTTAAATCACACCGAGATTCCAGGAACATATAGCTCATCAGTTAAAGATGCTGAGCTTGTCAGCTTTACCTTTACCTTTATACTGAGATTATTAATGTAACATTTAAGACATTTTTAAGAAGATGTGCTTTCAGTTACTGTTCTGAATCCTTCTTTAGATGACACATAATTGGCAAACTAAAATTAGATAAAGCAAGTATTTTATCACAGTTTAAACTGGCAGTAAAAAGTCTGGACTTCAATCTTTCATAGCAGAAAGTTATTAAGTGAACTCCAGGAAATAATACCAGAAAATATGAAAAATTTAACTTTGAAATTTAAGGAATAATGATTTCATAGAAAAAACAGAAAATAAAAAAACCCCTTCATTATGCAGTCTTCAAAATTACCACCTGGAAAGATAGAGCAGATGAGCATGTAGGTTTCTTCAATTATTTTAAATTTCCAAAATATTTAACTTGAAGGTTTACTGAGAGTACTTGGTCAATGAGTACAACCTCCCAGAAACTTTTTTTTTGACAGTTGTCGGTATTGGTGAAAATCTGCTCTGTTTATTCGGTCCTTACATGTGCAGGAAAATCATCAGTCAAACATGTAGTAATGTCTGAAAAATGAAGAATATCATATTAAAACATATATTAAAGAACCTACAACACAGGCAACTCTTCATTTATTGATTAAAAAAGATTCTACAATGCATGGAAGTTCCAGGGGCTGAAATAGAAGCCATACAAGATTTGAAACTGATCAGCTTGCTTTCATAAATCATGTCCAGCTTCGCTCTCTACAAGCAGATGGAAAGGGCTTTCAGGGAAGTGGCGTAAGACAAATCTGCACAAGCACTGCTCTTGTCAAATGATACCTAAACCTGTTGCCCAGCTGGTACATCACTTGCCCCCCTTTGCAGACTGTCAAACTGTCACCAAGGCTACAAACTGAGGACATCAAAAACCAGATGCCCCAATTGTACACCTCCAAGGAGAAAATGCTAGATATTTTCTTTCTCTTCTACAGAACCTTCACAAAAATAAGGTTTTGAGTTTCTGCTGGCAGTCCTAAAGGTCAGATTTCAAAACATATTTTATAATAAATGAAATTATCATCATGGATTAGGAATAATAGAAAATACTATTTTATTCAGAAGATTTTCTGTGAGGTGAGGAGAGCCAATGCTTGCATTTTTTGCAGACATAGCTAAAATTGGCAGCTAAACTTTATAATTGCTAAGACTTGTGAAACTGTCTTAAAGACTGAAGTTAATTAGAAAAAGCTTTTTGTGTGGGCAAATATATCTTGTTTACAAAACAAGACTTTGAAAGTTGATTACTAGAGCACAAGATGGCTTCTTTAAAGAAAATGTTTTACCACTGAAGATGAACAAATCCCTCTGGACATAACTGAGATGGATCTAGGGTGGATTTAAAATTACAACTTATAAGATAAAGATGGAGATACTGGATTTACAAATGCAATTGGATGATCATTTAAAAATGGAACAATACAATTAAGAAAGATTGTTTTAAACTGAAATATAAGAGAATTACTGGAGTTGATTTATGAAGGTTACAAGTGGACTTGAAAGTTAAAAAGAATTTTAAGAGAAAAGGAAAAGATATTAGGGAAGAAGAAAACAAGGTTAGGATTTTATTTATGTGATTTAAGAGTGGCTGGAGGAAGTTTTATATATACATAGAATAGAATAGAGATGGAAGGGACCTTGGATGTCTTCTAGTCCAGCCCCCTGCTCAAGCAGGAGAACCTATACCATCTCAGACAAGTGACTGTCTAGCCACATTTCTGGAGGCAAGCTGTTCCACTGGTTAATTGTCCTCACTGTTAGGAAGTTTCTCCTTAATTCCAGGTTGCTTCTCTCTTTGGTCAGTTTCCAACCATTGTTTTTTGTCCTGCCTTCTGGTGCTTTGGTGGATAACATGACTGACACACACACACACACACATACACACACACACACACTGCTTTTTCTGATTATGATTAAACAATGAGTTCTTATTTTTGACGATGCTTAATGATTATTTGGATTGGATGGTTTGTCTTTTGAAAATGTTTAATGGTATAATGCAGGGATGTCAAACTGCTGGCCCGCGGGCCGGATTGCGTCATGCCGAAATCGCGCCCACCCCAGCTCCGGCAATGGGGAAAAAGTTGCGATACATCGCGACATGTCACATGACGTGGCGAGTTTGACACCCCTGGTATAATGGATTAGTTTTTGATATCTAAATAAAAGGTTATTATTTTTGGTAATGTTTAATAATTTTTATTTGTTTTTCTGCAATGTTTAATTGTTAAGAGAGGGATGAGGGGAACTTAGATTAAATGGAAAGGGAGATTATATATCTCTGTTATTAGGCATTTTTGTTAATTTTTATTGGATGTTTGCTGATTAATATGGAGAACTGAAAATTTAGACATGTTTTTGTAGAAATTGGGGGTGAGATATGGAATGAAGAGGCATTTCACTGTATTTTGAGAGGCATTGATAAGTGATTAATATTTAATATATATTTGTTGGGTGTAAAAGAAATTTCTTATATTTTCTTTTTTAAGGTGGGTTTTGCACTTTCTAATTTTTTTCCTTTATGAGTTTTGTATTGTTTTTGCATTCGTCTTGTCTGGTTAATATAATCTATAATAAAATTATGTTGAGAAAATGCTACTTTATGGTACCTTTTACAGAGACTGCACTACCCTCATCCTTTTGAGTTTTCCAGGTTGATCACAGCAATTTTGTAAATTCTGACAAAAATATAATTACATATAATGTCACAAATTTCTGTGCAATAGCATATAGAGCCTGACATGAGATATAGCAAGGCCACTTTTGTGAATTTAATTTTGTCATATCAGTCTTGGAGCATTTTAGATGTTAAATGTTTTGGTTAAGTAGGTTGATTATGCTGGTCAATTCTCTAACAAATGTCTTACTTTTGCTTAGTCATTATATGTTCTATCTGGCTTGCTTTGGCTGTAATTTATTTCTCTTTCTACTCTTCCTTCTCTGTAGACTAAATAGTGGATTAGTAACATTCATGCAGCTTGTGATTCTGAATATCTGAATGAATGTATTTAAAGTTGATCTCTGAAAGATGTACAAATTCTCAGTTGCAAGAGGATAAATATGTATAATATGTGTATGTATGTACACACAACTGCCTTAGGACTATATCATTTCAGATAGCAGACAGAATTGTATACCTCCCTAGATCTTCTTAAAAAACCCATAAAAATACATTCCAGGCAGTTTAGAGTTGGATAACAATAGGTAGATTACAAATAAGTACATATCATTTGATGATCATCACAACTGAATGTGTTTTGTTATTATAAAATGATTGAATCTGATGAAGGAGGCCATGCAGTGTAAATGTTCTTTGCTATTATGTTCACCAACATGGCTAGTTATCAGATGTTGACAAACACTTTGCATTAATTCAGGACTAGAATCTTCCTGACTGACTTCCTTTCAGGGAACTGCAGATTTTAGTAAAGTATATAGCTGGTGTGATGGAGTGTTGAAGTGTGGTGACTTCCACTTCAGTGTTCTATATCACATTTGTGCTATGGCTGGCCACCTTCCTCTGATTCTTGGCGAAAAAGTGTGCTCTCTAAAGACTTAACTTATTTTAAAATGTCATCCATTTTTCTACTTTAAAAGCATGAGTGAATTTTATGCCATGATCTTAGAGTGGTGTTGGAAAATATGCATATTATTATTAATATTTTAATAATAATAATAATAATAATAATAATAATAATAATAATAAAAATAGTAATAAAAATATGTAACATTTCTTTATTCAACTTTGTAATGCTATTATATGTTAAAGGTAATTTAGAAATCTTTTAATAAAGCAAGGTTCCTTAGCTTCAGATATTGACAGGAACGCTCAAAATCTGGAGTGGTGTTTGATTGGTGGCACACATAACAAAAGGGTGTAAGCCAAAGAGGTGAATGCCATCCATTTTATATTTTTGTATCAAAAATACAATTGGCAATAGTCTACAGATAGCTTAGCAAATGATGTTGGCAGCTATTTCAGAGAAACATGCAAATGTTAAGAAGAAAAAAGGAAACTAGCTGCTACCACATGATGCAATTCCTAGAAGAGTAACATGCTCACACTCAGAAAACAGAGACAGCATCACCAGCAAAATTAATAGTTTACTGTGATGTGTGTCTGTGTGTCTGCCAGGGTAAAAAATGTTTGGATTCAGGTGAGCAGTAGTAAATTGATACTAGCTTCTGAGCTGGATTTTTAAACAAATACTTCGGAAGTGAAACTCCAGGGAAATATAAAATAGCTATGATACTTCTAATAGTTATGCTCCCCACCTAGAGTTTTTAGTTTCTATTTTTACTATATTGTTGATCCAAGCAATCTGTTGTTTACTGCTCACATGAACATTAACCTAAAGTCATATAAACAATTTGTGCTGATGTAAGACCAAATTCACAACCTTGGGATGAATGTATATTAGGAGGTTGAATGTGAATGCTATGGAATAACAATTGTTCCTTGTGTTCTGTTTAAGATGTAATTTCCTCCGATGTACAAACAGTTCACTTTTATATAATACTCTAATTTCCTAAAGAGATAAAGCAGTTTCTGTTTAAATTGATTTTTCTCTTGTAAAGACATCATAATTTACAATGTTTTTATTTAGAAATACATTCTAGTCTCTTTAAAGTGGCTGAGTTTTTGTATGTAGAATTTCAGCTAAAATTGCATCTCTTTTAACTGAAGAGAAAAAGTTAAACTTAATTCAAAAGCAATCAAACTTATTTAAAGAGTATATATACATGCACATAAGGCAATGAGGATGCAAAACCTCTAGTTAGTTCTTTAGCATAATTATAATCAATGCTCCTAGGAACAGAGAAATGCATGTTGCAATCAAGCACAGTTGTTGCTACTGTGTCTTTGATCTGTCCCAGGAGACTTCTGTAAATGCAAATGCCATTTCATCAGCTCTCTCCTAGTAAAGAACTTTTAAAAAACCTTATCCATCTCCTGCAACGTCATGTGGGTGTTTGTATATGCCAAATGCAATATACATATTCCTTTGAGAATGGAGAATTATTTGTATGACTCCCATAAACAGAAGAAAAAGATGATCATCTTTGTATCTACCACTGCTAGTTCATCTGGTTTTTTAAATTATACATAGGAAAATGCATTCTTATGTATGTTGAAAATGTTTGTATTGTGCATAATGTTTCATCTTGATGGAATGACAAAAGGAAATTTATTGTCAGAGAGGAATAGTCTTCAAAGTGGCCTTGCATATGTTCCTCTGATACCACTTTAAACAGAAGGGGCGAATCACTTAAACAGAGTGGCCATCCAGCTCTCGGGGGATGTGACAATAGTGGAAAAATACCTTATATTTTCACATATAAGCCCATCTCCGGATAAGTCAACCCTCACAGTTTTGGTATTTTGGATAAAAATTTGAAGATCAGCTTATCTGCAGATGGGTTATATGTGAGTATATATGCGGTTTATGGGTATTTTGAAAAAGTATTATCGAATACATTTGCAGATAAGCCCATACGTAGACAAGCCGAACTTAGTTTTGGGG